AGAGAGAGAGAGAGAGAGAGAGAGAGAGAGAGAGAGAGAGAGAGAGAGAGAGAGAGAGAGAGAGAGAGAGAGAGAGTAAGTTACATTTATAAAGACAGGTAAGTCTAACAAATGAGGACTGAGACCTCTACAGCAGGGTTTTTACGCCTGAAAGCAGGTGCATGATTTAACAAGCAGGTTGTCAGTCTAGATTTTATGCGCAGATGGAGAAAAAGCGCAGAATTTTTGTAATGAGATGAAAAGCAGAAATAATAAGAAATAATAAGAAAAGATGAAATGAAAGCCTGCTCACAACCCCGCCCAGCCTTGCGAACTGGGTATGGTGGATTAAGAACCCGGTTCAACGCTCGAGCAAGCGCTCTCCACTCAAGGTGTTCACAGCAACTGATAGGAACTGATATGGGGAAATTATAGAAAAGAAATAATAAGATAAAGAGAATAAATTTCAACGCACCTCAATAAATGGAGCCCCACATACAGTACCTCAGAAAAGTGGATCTTCCGACCAGTGTTTTTGTTGACGTCGCAACCAGATGATGTAGCTGCTTCGCAGAGATGTCTTACTGCACAAATTACAAATAAATTTTATTCTTCGATTAGAAAACCCAAGCGCTTTCAGAGCCCTCCGAAGAGAGTCCGGGATGAAACCACGCACACCTACCTCAACCGAAAAAGAAACGACCTGCCACCCGTTTGCTCGGCATTGATCGGCCAGATCCGCATACCGCCTGTCCTTCCGCGAGTTACTGACACTGAATCTGTCCTCAGCACAAACTGTCAACTCCATCCAGAATACAATCCTACGACTCGTAGAGTACAGAACTATATCTGGTCTTAGGGTGGTAAGTGCAACACAGCTAGGGAAAGAAATCTTTGCACTAACTGAGTCGACAAGAAGTTTCCAGTCTGAGGCCGCTGACAGGAGATCAGTCGTAACCAACTTCCGTCTGGGCTGAACGCGAACTGGCTTCTCTCCCGCCTTGCAAAACGAGATGAAGTCAAGTTCGAGAGAGAGAGAGAGAGAGAGAGAGAGAGAGAGAGAGAGAGAGAGAGAGAGAGAGAGAGAGAGAGAGAGAGAGAGAGAGAGAGAGAGAGAGAGAGAGAGAGAGAGAGACAGAGAGACAGAGACAGAGACAGAGACAGACAGACAGACAGACAGACAGACAGACAGACAGACAGACAGACAGACAGACAGACAGACAGACAGAGAGAGAGAGAGAGAGAGAGAGAGAGAGTCAGGGGCCGTTTACATGAGAAAAATAAGCCCGGGCGTATTCACCTCGGGCTTATTCTTCAACCGTTTGCATGACGGTTGTACGGGGCTGAGTTCAGGTGAGTCACTGCAAGTTCTGCGCGCATTTTATTTTTCAAATCGCACATGAACGCTGTCGTGAATATGCATCATGAATCCGCGTTACGCTCATTATTATGTCTTTATTTGTTTATGTGTTACATCATGTTGACGTCATGCTGATGTCTTGCTGCACGCATCGCGTGCACCGTTTTGCAGCTCTCAGGCCAGAGCATGCGCAGCGAGCCTGTGGCTCCTTTTTTTGCTGCCTTTTCCCTTTTGCATGCTTTACTTGTCGGAACTTGTCTCAAATAAGGTTTTCTGGTGACACTCCTTTTCAAGTCACCTAATCCTTTCAAGTAACAAGTGCAATGTCGTTCCGTGAACCGGAACCCCTCCATATTTGAGTTACCAAGACGTATTTGTGCGTGGCTATACAAGCTCTCCCACTCAACAGTTCAAAGTTGCGCACAAACGCAGTGGTAAATGTTCATGTATGATGAAATTTGGATCAAGAATTGCCGGCTCACGCTTCTACTGCCTTTCCCATTGTTACCTATTTTCAAGAAGGTGAAATATCGGCTAGGACCTTCCACTGAACTAAAAACCAGAAGAAAAAATGCCAAGAAAGAAGCAGAAGAGACGCACTGTCCACGGCAACATCCTCTCAGGTTCACGAGGCGAAATCGAAAATACGGAAAAACTCGCTTATATAATTATATAAAGCCCGGGGCTTATATTCTTGACCGTTTACATGACAAAATAAGCCCTGGGGGTTGGATAAGCTTGGGGGTCAAGAGTAGGGCCAGTTCAGCTCGGGGCGAGCTGAATAAGCCCGCCTCACCATGTAAACGCACAATCTAAAATGACTGGGTGATAGATCAAGGCGGGCTTATCGTAAGCCTGGGGTTGAATAAGCCCGGGCTTATTTTTCTCATGTAAACGGCCCCTCAGAGAGAGCGGATTGAGTACAATACCATAAAAGTCCGTAAATAAGTACGTATTTACTTTCGGATTTAGTAACCACACCCGTACTAACTTTCGGGCGGGTACTGACTTTCGGGCACGAACTAACTTTCGGACCTGACTTGTGTGTAGTGGAGAAGTCATTTTCATTTCGATGTACATGCTACGTGCTGCATGTGCACACCGTACCGGTACTTATTTCAGGCAGTATGTTTATCGGGCTTGACTTGACTTCAACAGACA